GTGCAGCTGAGAGAGAGAGAGAGAGAGGAGTCAGTGAACAGAGTAAAACAAAATGAATCCCAGCAGTTTACTCAGGAGAGAAGGTTGTTTCTTGACTATGTAGGAAAAAGAGATGAGCAGATAAAATAGCTGGACCCCAAGAACATTGGGCGTCATGGCTATGTGGTCAATAAAAGAGGAACATAGCAAAGAAAGGTTGTAAGAACAAAGCTAAACAACAGAACTAGAGGAAATAGAAATTTCAGATAGATTTCTGGCCACTGGCAATTATGTGAGAGTTTTGGATGCTGAGCCTGTGGTACTGAATGAAATGAAAGCTACTAGAGCAGTGGTTTGTCCGCTTAAAAAATGAACCAGGCCTAGTTAAATGAAGACATCAGGCGGGGGTGACTTGTTAGCACTGACAGTGGTATTTATCACTCCAGCCATCAGGATAACTCACTACAGCCCCTCTGGGCATGACAGCATTGCAGAAACAGCATGCTCCTCTTCCTGGAGGTCACAGAGTGAGGCAAAGGGCTGAGAGAAAAGGTCTCCATTTCTCCAGAGAGCTGCATCTGACCATCCTTTGTGAGAATGAGAGCACAGGGTCTCTGACAATGATAGAGGAAGGAGAGGCTCAGAGGTCTCAGACAACTCTCCCCAAGGCAGAGGGAAACCAAAACCAAATTTAAATTACTGAGCCTCAACAGCTTGCTCAGTGCTGTACAACTAAAGAGATTATTAACTCAGCCATAAGTGGCTTACAAGTTACTGCAGACAATGTGGTGGTCATTGAATTCGCGATCTAAGGAATCTTGCAGAGTTCATTGTGTCTTTGTGGAAGAAATGTATGACAAGGAAGGAGTTCAAATCCTAGACAGAGGTGATGTGGTGTATATTTAAGGAGGTATTTAAGCAGTGAGGGCGACATGACTGTGAAGGAAGGACAGAAAGGGGGCAGGCAATTATGAAGAATAACTTGAGAGATATGAAGGGAGAAAGGATGGGGAAGGAAAGAGAAAAGAAATATAGACAAGAAAAAAAGCAAGACCCTTCTGTAATGGGCCAACAGCTTAGCAGGAGAAAGTGGAAGCAGCAATATGAAAAGTGAAATGACATGGCCAGAGGAATGGAAGAGGATGGGATGGTCAAAACTAATCATGAAGAGGACAGGCGAAAGGTAAGAGATGATCTGGCAAGAGAAAGACACTGCAGTGATATGTTGATGTTCATGCTAGGAATGTAATGCACGTATGGCATGGCAGAACCATTTAACCTATGAAGGCTCATGGGCCAGATAAAAGTATTTAGGTGCTTAAAGATGCAGATAGGCACCTAGTGAGGTTTTTAAAAACATCGAGGCCCCTAATTCCTATGGATTCCAATAAAAGTTAGGAATGTAGGCACTTTTGTAAAATCCTACTAAGCACCTGTCTCCGTTATTAGAAACCTAAATACTTAAAAAAAAAATCTGTCTCCCACATGCCTGCTGGAATGTGACATAAGGTTCACATCTCAAGTGAGCAGAGAGAATTTTGATGAGGAAGCATAGAGAGCTAATCCATTTAAGTAGACGTCATTGGTTTCTGAGGGTCTGAGCATCGGAATGTGAAGACCCCAACAAACCCTCCAGCCTTTAACCCTTTATTCTCAGCTTAGCAAGCATTCATGAGCCTAGTGCCTGCATGGCAGAGTTCTTCTGTGGCTTCTGAGCAGGCATCCTTCAAGATCGAGCAACTTTTGGCCATTTTTTGTAACAATTGGTGAGTGGGAAACCAATGGAGACAATATGACTGGGGTTAGTACCTGTCAAGGGGCAAAGCTCCAGAAATTTTGGCCCTTTAAGGGAGAGGAAGAAAGATTTTGCTTTCCCTGTTGCAGAACACAAGCTGGGACATTAATGGATAAGATATGCTTCAAACAGAACAGTACTTCAGCATCCTTCACAGAAAACTCTGGCACAAAGATGGAAGGAATGTGTTTAAGCTCCGAACACAAAGGCCAACATGTTTTCAGGGATCTGGTGTAATTCAAACATCTCAAATCGAGAAGAGGTCAAGAAACAAATGCATCTATTGAGGCACATTTCTGAATTCCAATCTCATTCTGCTCATTTGGATTCACGCTTTGAGCATGTAGCGGCACAGTGAAAGACTAGAGACAAGCTAATGTGTCAAAGGAAACTCCATACTTGTAGTGTGAAATGATTTCTGAGTAACATTAGCCATGAGAACCTGTTTTCTAGTGCAAAACCTGCATTTTATTAAAGACAGAGTTTGGAAGGCCCAGTCAAAAATACATTGTGCTCAGTAAAAATTAACCATTTCCATGCTGATAATTAAGGTTACCACAAGATAGTTTTCTCTTTTATAATATTTACAGCAACAATAGAAATTGTACATAAGTTAAGAATGGAATACATGCCCAAAAATAATAGATACGATGTACCAACAACATGATACAAAGAGCTGTATATAAACACTTTACACATGGTTTATTAACTTGTGTGAAGTCTTCTTTAAATAGCCAGCACATTTTAAAATCAGTTGTATTCAAGAATTAAAAAGTTTAACACCACATCACATCCCTTCCACAACAGAAAGTATGGTAGGTTTAAAAGTTTGTGCGTTTTAGAATATCTAATAGCTGCTAATCGAAGTGGGTAATTCTTTACCAATAAATTTGGAAGTTTGGAAAAACTACCTCCACAATCTCTTATACTTTTAGTATAGCCCTTTCTGCAAGGTGGTGAAAAATATTATCAAGTTCTCAAAGCTTTGTTCTTTGGCCATGCCATTTCCTTTGAAACCACACAATTTAATATTTGACAGTGGAGATCTAAGCAGTTCTGAATGATTTTCTTCATGGATTAACCTGATTTACAAATGCTTCAATGGAATTTCCTATAACATTACACTTTCAGGGAGGATTTCGGTTCATGATCATTATTCCACATAATCCAAATTTATAGGTTAGAAATTACTCCTTTTAATGAGACATGTCCTTTCATATGGTGCACCTAAAATAGGACTACTAAAATACCTTGCTGGGGGAGACAGAAAGCTGAGAACACAACCTATGCTTCAGGCTTCTTTTACTAAACCTTGCTATAAATCAGATGGCAGACTATCTCAAGTGATTATACCAAAAACTTCAGCTGCAATAGATTTGCAGAAATTCATATTTTGTGCTGTGGACATACTTTGGCAACTGAGATTTAATTAATCAGTTACTGTGAGCTGCCATTCCCAGACCTGTACATTTTTGATGCCACCCTCTATTTCTGAGGTTTTCCTCAGACTGGACCTAGACAAACAAGGCCCTGTAAAAGCTTAGTCTGGGTGCTTGTTCTATTGTATTCTAACACATAATAGGGATGGGGTTTTTTTGTAGTTGGGCAGAGGTAACTGGGACTGAGAAGATTTCTTCCTCAGATGAAGTGAAAAACTAAACTGAAGAAAATCCTGAGCAAGTCTAAGGATAGCTGTCTCTGTGTAGAACAGCAAACCAGGGTGGAGTAATAGATAAGGCCTCTATCTCCCTGATAATCTGCACTAGAGCAATAGCAAAGAACAAGGCAACTTCAATATTTGAAAACTACATGGAAATAAACGGAGAGCACTAAGGGAAGACTGAAAGGCAGTGCAAGGTGACAAGATTTTATTAGAGGAGCTGATCTGGCTTAGAGGGTTTTAGAAGCATGTCCAGATGAAGGCTTACTGAAGCTCTGTTATTAGGCGCCTAAAACCACATAACTCTCCTATGCTAAAGTGTAAAATGGAATAATTTATGGATATTTTTCTGTAAAAACTACATGCTAAAAGTCAATGGTAAACTGAGGGCTAACTAAGCAAACCGTGACCACATTCTGCAAGAGAGAGGAGGTAGATCAATTTGTAGGGAGGACAGGAAAGGTCCAGAGCTACTTCCCTGATCTCTTAAGCCTGTTAAGCCATCAACTCCATATTTGGTCTCCTGGGCTGACACACCAAAAGTCACATTCGTCTGGCTACATGTTTTGAATTACATTCAGAAGGGTTGGGATTGAACACAGTATATTGAATTAATGGAGGGAGAGCATCCAAATGGACAACACAAAGATGGCTGATCTTACAACCAATCTTGTGCGTATTAGGTTAGGTCCTCTTGATGCAACCAACTGACTGAACACAAGATACCCTTGATCATGAACAACAGCCATGTGGAACTAAGTGCAGGTAAACTATAACCTAAATTTATCAAATTTCTATCTTATACATACAGGGGGGGTTAACGCAGGCCACTCAGCTAAAGATTTTCCATTTATAGATAGTCTTCCCCCAAAAATTTTGCTTGTGATTTGGCTGATGTTTGGTCAGAGAAAATCTTTGCAGTTCTCACAACATCTGACACAACAAGACTTTATGCAACAATACTCCTTTACTGGAAAATTGCTCCTTAAATATCCCAAAGGCTAGCAGTTGTTAAATGGCTTTTCTCCTCATTCACTGCAAACCGCAATTTATGAAGTGGTCAACATTATGACAGAGACAGACAAAGGAAATTGTAAGGGGGAAAGGCACCTGTACCGACACTAGTATCCTGACTGAAGGATATTTTAGAAATGGTTAAATACGGCACTTTACCTTTCTTAACATCTCCTGTCATACTCCCTTCACTGTACACACTAGGCCTATTTACATCAACTCTACAACAGCAAAGCTGTGTGACAGACAGAGTGGTCCCCTTTTTGGATGTATGCAGTCTGCCAAGAGACAATGAAGAAGTTAAAATGAATGTTCACAACCTACACAAATATTGCAAAACATCATTATGGCTATTCAGAATATTTCTTGTGGGACTGACTTACTGGGAGTCATGTTTCTCATAGCTCTACTCTCTCACACACAGTTAGAATTCTATATTATTCATTTGACGTACAAAAATTTAAAACCTGACATCCAAATTGTTTTAGGACCATGAACAACTGCAACCAGAATAGGAGCCCAATTGACTTGCTATCTCGTGATCACCCTTAAAAGATAGCCAATTTTACTTTAGATAAGCAATAACATCTCCAACATTAGTTAAGTTCCATTGCTCCAATTATAAGCAATGCCTAAATACTGTAGATTATTTAGGACAAGCAGCAAAGTTTTAAGGATGACCACTACAATGTAATAAACTCACACTTGTAAGAACTTGTGAGGAAAATAAAAATCTAGTCATTATTTTGTGGCTTTTCAAACTTCTATGATCAGATGATCTTTCATAGGGACCCATCTGAACCACCAAATAGCGGCCAAAAAGTCTCCAGCCTCTGCAATACCACCAGTCCTCCTCTTCAAAGCATAACCCACCTTTCTTTCCAGAAACCTGTGTGAGAAAGGAAGGCAACAGTTCTGCACGTTATCTGAGGATGAATCGATCTGATGCCTGTCTTTACATTGATCTAAGAGAATGGTGGTCTATAATCATGCATTAAAATGCAGAGACTTTAGCACCCATACATCCAGTTTTTAAGTCTGGGTCTGATCTGGCAACAGGAATCAGAGTTTAATGTTGGTCCCGAGCTCTGTGGTTTAGAACATTTTTAGAGTTGCAGGTTGACTTTCTGAAGCAGGGAGTGCTACTCACTGTTCTTCTCCCACCATAACCTCTGCTAGCACTCGGAACAGTGATGGTGCTCTCCAGAGAACCTTTGAGTGTGCTGGTGGAGCAAAATTCCATTTGCTCTGAATATATACTTCCCTCCTCCCACAAAGGTGAGTACTATATAATTAATTTTTTCATTATGGTCAAAAGGACAAAAAAAAAATCTGTGCACTTATGTTAGCAAATTTTCATAATAGATGTGAAAAGCTTGTTTGAAGTTAATGTTTAAATTTTAATTAAAAAGAGGTCAAAGTGCCTATTTTTCAGTTTACAAGAGCCAAACTCAGAGGCAAGTTTAGACAGCATGAGTTGTATAAATGATCCTAATTAATTCCTGTGAGCTTGTTTCTTTTATGTTCTCATTAGTAACACCATCATAAGGCAAAACAAATTGGCAAGGAAAAGGAAACTTAAACCCTAATTTAGCTACTTTATTCTTAGTAAATTCACTAAATATATAACAAAGTTAGACCTAGAGACCAGTAATCTCGGCAAAAAACAAAGCTCATACTTGAAAAATCACTTGTGCTATAATAAGCTTTTCTCTACTCTAGAGCTAGCAAATCTGAGTTATCCTGACAAGATTCCTTTGGGAGCCTTAGCCAAATTGTATTCGCAATACACCAACTGTTGGAAATTTAGGCCCAAGTTAAAAATATAGGAACATTTATACCAATACCAGTTTGCAAAGTGACAAATTCACTTTCTTTCAAACCAGAAGGAAGAGAATTACATACATTCAACACAGTTTGCTGATGTCTTAATTTATCAAGGTTTGTAGATATTTCTACGGAGGAAACGGCAGTACAGGATAGAGAGCTCTCACACATTTGGACCTCTCAATAATCTGTATGTTTTTTGAATCATACTCAAAGCTGCAATAAGTATTTTAAAAGACTGACAGGACACAGTAATCTCTCTGATTTAGCTTATTGCATGCTGAGAGGAAATCCACTCGAGGCTTCTATTTCTTCCTATAAATCTGCCTAATGGCCCAATGTGATTATACAAGTGTGAAGGCCTTACCAACAAGGTAAGGAGCCTTTTAGAGGCAAAATGAAAGCGATGTATTATTTAATGAAAAAAGAAATTATTATCGGACTAAAGAGCCAACCCTGGACACTACCAATCTTACAGACAGACATACAATACTGCTTAGAGCCCCACTCTCAAATTAGAAACTGCATTTTTGTCTACTGAGCTTATAAATGACATTAAAAGCATCCTTTCACACCCACCACATGAATATTATATATAATATATAGTGTTTATATATTACATATATCATATTAAAATCTGGGGGAAAAAACACATGCACATTTCTTTCAGGCAGCTAAGAAATCAAGAATTTTTGCTTTGTAGCTTGTTAAACTTGTTACCATTTTTCTTGTACTGTGCAAACCTGAAACAACACGTCATACTGTCTCCTAAGAGCCAGATTTGCAAATATTGGTGTCAATTGTGTTTAATGCTCCCTCCTTTCGCACTATTAAATGAAATTGGAACTCCAAATGTTCCTAGATGGCTATTTTTGCATTTATATCAGTGGCTGAATTATGACATTCATGCTTAGGTTCACTTCTTTTTGGAAAGGAGAGAATATCTTTAAGTACAATTAATATACATTATGTGGATAACAGGCAGAAAAGTGAGCTACATTGTAGACTAATAGGAAAGTTGGACAAGTGAGTTTAAACATGAGAAAAAATGTATTGTTCTGACACTACAGCCTGATGCTCCTCTCACCTACACCAAATTTACTCTAGTGTAATTTTTTTTTACTTTTTCAGTGGACTTACTCCTGATTTATGCTACTGTGAGAGGGAAATCAGGCCCTGCATTTGCTACACTTAAAAAAATCCATGGTTTTAAAGGCAATCTTTTTGCTTTTCATAATATTCTACAGGAGACAGAAATCTCACATCTAATATTCTGTAGAAACTGGAAACTGACTGTGAATGGGAATATTCTGATAGCAAGCTTTAGGGAGAAATTAAGTTGTCTGGCACCATTTCCACCTCTATTTGAATATCATTATTTTAGTAGTTTTCAGTATATCCTGAAACAGGAAGAAAAAAGTGCAAGAGCATTTTAAATTTTAATACAAGATTTATCTTTCTAGATAGACTTTTAAATGAAGTGTAAAATACATATATATATATATGCATAAAAGCTTATAACATGATTTGCAGTGTAATGCTATGTATGTCACTACTTTTGTATGTCACTTGCAACTCACGCTATATTTCTTTGGTCTTCACCCCTATTATTGAAGTGGAAGAGCATCTGCTTCAGCCTGTGGCAAAGAGGCACTTTCTGCCTTTACAGAAAGATAAGTGATACCAAGATTTCTGTTCTTTTGATGCAGATGCACAACTCCCATTCACACTAATGGGAAAGCTAAGTGCACATGTAGGGGAGAATATACCACATTCAGATTACTGCACAGATCCGTAGTCTATTACATTCAGCCGTTACCTCCAAAAAACAGCCAATACAAAGTTTTGAACTAAATATTACACTTTCGGTGGCTACCAATAGTAATGCCTATAGTACTGCGCTCTAATAGCTGAGCAAGATTCATACTGTTACAGTCACACTTATATCCACATTCAACTCCCTTTTATTAGAAGTATAATACTGCACTTTATATCACAAATGTATAAAAATATGGCAGATAGTGTCATAACAATACTTTTCTTTTAAATGAGTATATTTTAAAAAAACAGACAGTTATTTTCCATTTATTTTTATATATATATATATATGTATATATATATATACACACACATGTATTTATATATAGAATAAAATACTCCTGATGCAATATATAAATGTTACTGTTAGTTTTTATAGAAACTACGGTAGCTGTTGCACTGCTTCACAATGTTTCAAACAGCTCAAAATAACTTTACATTGTAACATAAGATGTGATTATAACAGTACAATATTAGTTCATCATAAATAAATATTACAAATCCTATCAAATATGGAAGTTTAAAAAACAAAATTAAGACATACAATTCAACTCCAACCCTTCACAGGGATACTTGTACCACATAAACCCCACTGTTTTAACTAGGCAGTAAAATATGTAGTAAGGGCATAGGTCTAGACACTAATTTCTCACCCCTTGAAGTGCCAGTATATACTCAAACTCTCCCAGCTTTCAGAGATGTGCACTGAGCTGGAATGTAAATGAGAGAAAATGGCAGCACATTTCTTCTCCCTGAACTGCACACTCTATCATCCAATGAGATTTCTGATGACTGGTAATTAATAATTCATCTTGTTTTACTGTGTGATCCCTGACTGTCAGTGTGGTGCCAACAGTATAGCCCCACAGGTACATATTGCACACTTTTATAAAAGCGGAAAATACAGTCTTACTGTCACTGGCACCACCGCCATACTCTCCACTCCAATTCCTGTGGTAACTGGGGTACCATCTGGAGTACCATTACAAGGCCGTCTCTTTTAAATCATTCAGATTTGGCATTCGGGATCGGTTTGTTCGGCTATACGTGGGCCCATTCTGTCCGCTCTTGGAAGGCAGTTGATCAGAGTACGAAGTCCCGTCACTAGCACTCCTGTTCACTGGTGAGACATGCCAACTTGGTTCTATCTGGCTTGGTATCTGAAGTGTCGGTCTGCCTTTTGATTGGGCCTCCTGTCGCACATTGCTGCTGCTGCTGCTACTGGAAGTTTGACTTATGGGGTGAATTCGCACTTCAGAAAAAGAAGCTTTGGCAGGCTGAGCTGGTAAGGGCTGGAAGCGGGATTCAGAGGGGATAGAATGATTTGAGGAGGAGGAGAGATGTAACAGTTTCCGAAGGGATTTTAAAGGTTGGCTCTGAAAGAGAAAGAATGAGGAAAACACTTGGTCTTATGCCCTGCTGCAATACTAGCTTTTGTAGGAAAACTAGCTGTTTTGGGCATGTCTTAAACGGAACCAATTTAACTTTTAAAAAAAAAAGTCAGGAGTTCATCTCTTCTCCTGTTCACTAACTCTGAATATTTAATTTCAATTCACTGACCAGCATTCATTGTGCAGGAATATGTAAATACATAAAGTTCTTGGTGATTATGATCAGTAAGTACTATTGCTGCCAGTGCATCTGAAAGAAAAACTTCTGTTCCACCAATTATTTTTTAAAAACAGGGCAACTGAAATGAAGTTTTCCTGTTTCGTTTTGAAACTCTAGGGGAATGTCTACTAAGTGCACAGTTCACAGCAAAATGGGATGTAAGGTTACCCAAGTTCTTTGAGAAGTAAGGGACATGAAACATACAGTACATATCATCTGTTGAAAGGACATCACAAACAGTCCTCCCCACCCCCAAACTTTTAATTCAAGATAGTTCCAGTAGGAGTATAAGTGTGACAAAGGTACCTACCAAAATGGAAGCCATAATAGTCCCTGGATGTGTCCATCTTGGAAGTTGCCAAAGCTTTGATTATGTTATTGCATTAGAGATGCTTTAAACAAAAATGGAGTACAATATTTGAGCATGACTACATGCCCATTTAGTTTGAGGGAAGCTGTGGTGTAAATCTACCCTATGCTACCCTGCTGTGCACTGTGTGTCTTTTTGAACCATCCTGCTGTGCACTGAAAGCTCTCTTCAATCCACTTCACTTTGAAATAAGAGTGAATCAAAGCTCACATGATTTTCCGCAAATGCTTTTAACAGAAAACTTTTCTGTTAAAAGCATTTGCGGAAAATCATGTGAGCTTTGATTCACTCTTATTTCAAAGTGAAGTGGATTGAAGAGAGCTTTCAGTGCACAGCAGGATGGTTCAAAAAGACACACAGTGCACAGCAGGGTAGCATAGGGTAGATTTACACCACAGCTTCCCTCAAACTAAATGGGCATGTAGTCATGCTCAAATATTGTACTCCATTTTTGTTTAAAGCATCTCTAATGCAATAACATAATCAAAGCTTTGGCAACTTCCAAGATGGACACATCCAGGGACTATTATGGCTTCCATTTTGGTAGGTACCTTTGTCACACTTATACTCCTACTGGAACTATCTTGAATTAAAAGTTTGGGGGTGGGGAGGACTGTTTGTGATGTCCTTTCAACAGATGATATGTACTGTATGTTTCATGTCCCTTACTTCTCAAAGAACTTCTCAGAATGGTAGTCACATGGCTGAGAAGCAAGTGGAGGAAAATGTCAAATGAACTTTTTCTGTCACTGCAGAAAAAGCCTCTCCAGA